GTTGCCACAAGCCCTCCGGACGCTCCTTCGTCGAATCCGCCGGCCATGCCTTTCTCAAGCCCTCCGCCTCTGCTCACTCTAGCCATCCGGCCTCTGCTCACTCTAGGCCGCCGCCGCTCACTCAAGGCCATCGTGTGTGACGCTGTGTTTCGTTGTGAAAGCGAAACTACTTTGTTTGGCTTTCCAAAAATGGACACGACTAAAAATCAGTGGTTAAGCTGTATTTACAACACTGTTCCAGAACAGTTCAACCCAAATATTCAGATGTGTGCAGCACATTTTATGGAGATACATTATAGAAAATGCCGATCCATGTGTGAGATGATAATATAAAATGTAATAAATATATATAATATAATAAATTAAACATTACCTTGTCATAATAGTGTTTTATAATTTATACAGATAACTGTTATATAGGCTATGCCAATAAAATAAATATAACAATATCATATTAGAATAATATAACCTTATTTATTACTTATATTAACGCTTTATAATTAACATATCATACAACTATATATATATATACATATATATAGTAGGCTATATTACATAACTTTATTGTAATAATATACAATATTGTGCGCAATCTGTCACGCCCACTGAAGGATCGTCAGTAGATCACGCGTGCGCTGATAGCGCTGAAGTGAACTAACCCTGAAACATAACCTGCTCCGGAGCAGGTTATCTTCACAGAGCAAGTTGCTATGGCTACTTACATACCCTGAAAGTTACCTCCGATTTTGGAACCGAAAGCTGAGGTTATTCGCTCGCTTATCCTCAAACATACCCGGGTATGTCACATAACCTGCTTTCTGGAATACCCCCCTGATGATTGCGTCATCATTTGAAGATGATACCGTTCGAAAAGCATTTATCAGAAAGGTTAGCATTTCTATCATTTGCGAGCCATCATAAATGCAATGAGTGCTGGTCCTCATTGTCGTTTCCATCTCTCTTTCTACCCATGCAGGTGTTCAGTGTGGTAACAATTCAGTTTGTGTGTTCACCTTCTCAAAGACAGTCAAGACAGCGGTTCAGGGTAACTTTGGGTGTACCTCAGTGGGCACATGTCTTGCGTTGTTCTCCACATTCAGTCGCGCACATCCCTGGAAGCTGCTGGGACTGGTGAGTGTATGTTTATTGATATGTCTTCATGCTGTGAATTACATGAACATTACTGCAACCCAGAAAAGTCACCTTAGGAGATGATGAACAGTTCTATGAAAATAGAGTGCAAAATAGAGCCAGGTAACTGTCATTTTTTTTTAAAATGTTGTTGGTGAAAATCACATTAATTTTCTCTGTAGGGTAACCGATTTTGAGCGTTGTTAATCAATGGTGTATGCTTTTATTGAAGCCATCAGCCCACATTATTTTGACATTTGTTTTAAATAACCATCCCAAACACGGGAATTCCTGTGAAAAACTGCTTAATTCATGATTTTGCAAAGAAATCTTCACCAAGAGAACTAAAACAAGCAGATTGCGGCAAAAAAAATAAATAAATAAATATTTATGCATAGTGAATGACGATGAAAGAAGTTGATTATTTATACACACACATAGGCTATATATATATATGTGTGTGTGTGTGTGTGTGTGTGTGTAAATCAACTTCTTTCATCGTCATTCGCAATGCGTCATGGGATTGTAGTTCTATAGTACACAGTCTTGTACCTTTGCTTTATTTTCCAATTTTCAATAACTTTTTTTCTTCAAATCAAACTTTATAATGTTGTGATCCACCTTGTAGCTGGTAGGTTTGGGTCATGACTTACAACTCAAACTTCTTTCATAGTCATTCGCAATGCGTAATGGGATTGTAGTTCTATAGTACACAGTCTTGTACCTTTGCTTTATTTTCCAATTTTCAATAACTTTTTTTCTTCAAATCAAACTTTATAATGTTGTGATCCACCTTGTAGCTGGTAGGTTTGGGTCATGACTTACAACTCATAAATGAGTTTTTTTTTTTTTTCAAATCTCTATATGAAAAATCAATAGGTGAAATACTTCTTAAACCAATACCACTGATCAAAGTGGGCACCCTATGCTTTTCTTGATTCTTCCATATTCTGTATGAAAGATTAGCTTGAAAACTGTCTGAAACTCTCTAACCTTGAAAGGCAGCATTTCAGCAATTCAATTAACCCAATTGGTTCCTTCTCTTGGTTCCTCCTGAATCTTCCACAAAGTTTACTACCCAGGACAAAATATCCTTCTCTTAAGTCAGCCATGACATTTTGTAACTTGGTTACTTCCTCTCCCTGACCAAGACAGACTAGTGCAGCCTGTATTTCCTCTGTAAGTGCAGTGTCCTACATATAAAGGTTTATGTGAGCATTATGCATGCCAGTTAACATCAGAAAAACAAACAGGGTGAAGAGTTTTATTTTTGTTATAATGCTGACTCTACATTATCTTAATTCAGCCAAATGAATGGACATGAAATATTGATTTGTGAGAAGAAAGATGACAATAGATATGAAACTACAAGCATACCTATTGAGGAAATTAGTTGCCTGGGATAATAGTCAATTACAAGGGTTTAACATTTATTATTAAAAAATGACCACAAAATACAGCGATTACTAATCATAATAAGGCTTTCCAGAGAGCTGTGATGTTGTGAATAGCTTTTACATTAGATCATAGAAAAGTAGGTCTCATTCACTAATAAATTAATATAATGTTACCTATTTATGAGCACAGAAAAATTCTCACAGAATTTATTTTGTTAATAAATCTGTATTATTCTAAGTAAGTGCCATTGTCATTTGCATAAAACGTTCCTAAACATGTCCATAAGGGCTTTCCTACAACTCTTTTATGCTGACTTGGTGACTGGATGCATGCGTAACAGGATATTTGGGTTAATGAAAAATGCACCATTCTCTGAACCACTTAAAACACATTTATATAGCCCATTTATATAGATGTTTCGGACCTCTTATTTGTGCATTTGCCTATACGGGTTGCATTTTATGTCATTTTTTTAAA